GGTGTTTTTTCGTCCGGGAAACAATCCTCCTTCAAATCACTTATAAATGCTGCCTCTTTTTCCACACCATGCGCTCTGATAACAATGTCGGACAGGGGACCCCGGTTCAAATCCTCCTGGTCACTAGAGACGTTCTGCAAGTTGGATTACTAGTATTCGCATGTGTTCTTCGCATGTGTTCTGTGGTAATTACCTGTGGTGTAGCAGGGATCAGGAGCGAGGAGTCTGCCAGGGGAAGGGGTGGAGGTGGGGGTCTGTGGCCAGCTACCAAAATACACCCTTTTTTACTGAAAATAACATTAGGGACCCCTTGGGGTCTCTGAAGGCCAAGGGCTCATCTAAAAATTGTAATGTGTGGGTGTATTCTGTGATTAAACATAAACAAAATACAGACAATTCTTCTTTTTCTAAACCTCTTTAAATCAAAAAGATCTGGATGCCATTTTGTACACAACTTGGAAAAATAATACTACACTAATTAATAAATTACATGTTTTGTTTCAGAGTTTGAAAAAAACACAAGTTTAGAGCATTTAAAGAAGAAGTTTGCCATGGGCTTCATACACAATATGTCAAATGCACGGGGACGAGCAATGGTATCCAGCTTATTCGAGGAATTGTTACCACACTGCACAGTTACTTCCATGGGGGGAGGAGCCACAAACGATCCCGCTGTGAGGAAAATATTCTTCATACCCACCTTTACTTACAGCAGCCCAGAAACTTCGCCAGAGGGAACACCTCCAAAAAAAACAGAAAACTGAAGACGCACGGCCACATAAGAGATCAAACCTTTTTGACGAGCATTGCAATGAAGAACCAATTATTGTGTATCAAAAGGATTTTGTTCCTGACATGGTTGCTGAAGTCATTGATTTAAAATGCAAAAGTATCAGAGAAGTGTTAAATGTTTCGGTGAAGTCCGGACATTACTTAAGGGATAAAGATCATTGTCAGTTGAAGTATGAACTGCTGCCTGTAGTGCTGAAGCAAAAGTCTGCCCTGGGCCTACTTATTTGTGCAGGCGAAGCATACTTATATCATTTAGTGCTTGTACATAACACAGTCACTTGTTACTGTCGATTTTACAAGTTCTGCAATGAGAGTTTGTGTCAAAGTGTATCCCAAATGTGTAAAGATGTTGTGTATTATGGTGGGAGTTAAAAAAAGTTTACGGACGACGACGACGGACACCGGGCCATGACATAAGCACAAAGTGCCGTTGTGTATTATGGTGGGAGTTAAAAAATAATTACTTTATAAAATATTTATAAAATACTAAACATGAAATAATGATGTGTTTTTTTATTTATTTATACGCTTATGAATTTATTGGCTTGGAAAAAAAAGTGGCAAGTTTTTGTCTTCCGCAAAAGTGACTAAAGGTTTCAAAATCCTAGCTGAAACCCTGCATATATCAATAGTTTATATATAGGCTTATGTCACATATGGGTTGTCTGGAAAGAAATGAACAGTTTATAAAATCGTCTTTATCCAATATTCATATTCAGGCAACCCACAAATAAGTGATGCCACATTTTCAAAATCCAATATGGCTGCCAAATCCAAGATGGCTACCGTACATACGTATCATACAAGGTTGTTCTCAAGATGTTTCAATACATTGAAGAGTTGGTTAATGGATCATTTATTTAAACTTCAATATTTAAATTGAATATGAAATGACAAGTTGCCACAATTCCCTTCGTCAATATAGCTGTCATTGTGTCAAATTAAAGATGGCTACCCTATATCTTTCACATACAATTTTATGATCAAATGTAGCATTCTCTTAATGCAATGGAATATCAGTTTTAGACGCAAAATCATTTAGGAAATGAAAACTTTAATAATGATATGAATAAAACAATAAAATCAATAATTGTGCTTTATTAAAAGTAATTGCCAAATATGTGTTATATATGCCAGGGTACATGAATGTTTAAACGATTAACAATTGATAATTTTAATTTTTTTCCTCAGAAAGATATAAAGAGTTGGTACAGATTAATTATGTCTCCCCCATATATATATGGGGGAGACATATTGTTTTTGTCAGAGTTGTCTGTTGTTGTCTGTCTGTCTGTCTGTTGTCTGTCTGTCACACTTCTTGTCCGGACGATTACTCCTGAACTGCTGTTGCTATTGAATTGAAACTTCATATATGGAAAGAGCATAATGAGGGGAAGTGCAGTGCACAATGGCTATAACTCTAGCATAAATACTTTTTGAGTTATTGCCCTTTGTTGATATTTTTTTTCACACTTTGTCCGGACGATAACTCTTGATCTACTACTGCTATTGATATGAAACTTCATATATGGAAAAATCATGAGACGAGGGAGTGCAGTGCACAAGGTCCATAACTCTAGCATGAATATTTTTTTAGTTATTGCCCTTTGTTGAATTTTGCATTATTGCCCTTTGTTGATATTTTCGTTCACACTTTATCTTGATGATAACTGCTGATCTACTACAGATATTGAAATGAAACCTCACA